GCATAACTGTCCACTATACTAAGGTGGCCGACTGCCATGAGCACAAGGTTGGATGGCGTTCTTCAGAAGAGCCAGCTGAAATCATTCACAGTACAGCTGTTGTGTTGGGATTCCTAAACTGCCTTGTAACAAATGCAAGTGACTGAAATATAATGCATTTTCTGCTTTTCTTCTATTAAATGCTATTTAGAAACTACATTTGTCCATTATAAAAGGGAGTACATTTTCTTTTTAATCTAGGTTTAAAAACTTGTCAAGTTCCAAGAAATATCCCTTGCATTACCATTGGCTTCATATGGTTTTCAAAAAAAGTTTCAATTTAATGAATAAGAAAAGTGGCGTCACCAAGTTTAAAGTATTTGTCCTTACACCTTTAATACTTTTTTTAACCAAAAATCATATTATTCATTTAACTTTTTGAAAAGTCGCACCACATGACATTTTATTTTATTTTTATTTTACTGAACTATCCTTGTCTAGTAAAAAATTTCTATTTTGATAGACTCACCCAAAAAGAACAATTCTGTCATCAATTACTCACCCTCATGTTGTTTCAAACCCTAGACTTGTGTCTGTCTTTGGAACACAAGATACTTTTACAACACAAATTCAATTCGTAACTATTTTATGTTTTTGGCGAATTGGTGGCAGATTAGCATGATCGAAATTTGTACGTTTTCATATGATCTGCTTACGAATGTCTTATGGGTTTTGGCCAAAATGAGGTTGAGTAAAGACCCGTTCACACCAAGGACGATAACTATGAATATAGTTCTAAAAATCATTCTAAATATAAAAGAAGAGCAGAGTCCACACCACAACTATAATGAAAACAGTACAGAGAAACTATATCTTTTAAAATTACTTTCAAACCTTTACTTTTCTAGCTGATGAATGATACAAATTCTGACATCCAATCAGAACCCATCCTGATTTAAGAGCTAAAGCAGCAGACACCATGAGCTCAGAATAAACAGAACAATATCGCTGGTGTGAACGCTAATATAGCTATAGCTGAAGTTATCTTCATAGTTATCGTTCTTGATGCGAACAGCCCTAAATTATCACAGAATTTTTATTTTTGGGTGAACTATCCCTTTAAAGGTGCAGTGAGCAATTTCTGGTAAACACTGTTGATATTTGAAAGCACCAACACAATGACAATTAAAGATGTCATCAATAAGTGAAAGCAATTTGTGTTACTATACTAATTCAGGTCGAATGTCTAATTGTCATTTAGCTCCTCTACTCCTTGCCTCCTTCGATGACAATCATCCCTTCCATCCAAAAAAACAAATACTTTAGATTAAGGGATTAGCGACAACTAAATAGGGAACCAAATGAAAATCCATATTTTAGGAGTGTTATCTCACTTTTCAGACACACTTTGGGAGCCGATGCTTGGGGAGGTTTTTCTCAGTAGGTTGTAGACTTTTTTTTTTAATGGCAGCAGAATGTCTCCGATCTCCCATGAGACACAGTGACTCCAAATGTGCTTACAGGCAATAACAGAAATGGCTTGTGTAAGGCGTTCAGAATTCTCTATGCACTGAGGTCATGACATGAACATATGACGCCGGTTCTCTCTCTCAGTCTTGATCATATCGTCTGCATTTACATGTTGAGTTGGAGGACAGCTCATCCTTTGTAACTAAGATGTAGCTTGAAATTTCATAACCAGTTTTGAGTTCCTGATACGACACCCTATCAGGACTTGTCTGCTAAGATCTCAGTGCATCAGCAGGGGGAATGACTTCTTCAAATCTGCTTAAGAGACTTTAAGCTGATGACTCACTCATGTAATGCATCCTGTGAATTCAGAACTTTCCATGCAGTTCCATTACCACAATATTGGGGCTGCATAAGTCCCAGAAACCCTGGTAAACCCATCATGTTTAAAGGAATTTCTCACCGTAATATCAATTTTGTGTTTCACTGCAAAAAGTAGGCTAAGTCATCTAGGTTTGGAACAACTTTAAAGCGAAGTTTGATCAATTCTTATCAACCAATGTCTGTGATTTCATGCACCGATTCGAACAAACTAACATCTCCATGTTTATTACAGAGGTGGGAGTGTGTGTTTTCTAGATGTGGGCATCATTTTAATTTATTAAACTCTATTTAAATAAAATAACATGAATTTATAGACATAGCGGTTTATAATATAGCCTACCCATATAATTGAGCAGAAAAACATAAGTCTCGTACCTGCTACTGATATGAAATTGGGCAGTCACAATGCATTTCACAATTTGGCTCTATTTATTGTTATTATGATGTTATTTTTTCATCAGATACCATCCATATTGTATCTAAAATGAAAGCATGCTGAAGATTGGTGCTCAAACGGTAGCTCAGGTAGGTCAAAATACACATGAGGATCAGGATAATACAACATCAGTAATCACAGGCATTCCCATTTGGACAGGATGCGATTTCTCAAAGCAGAGGACCATCGAGTTAGCCAAAAAAAATAGGTAATTTGCTCTGGAAGTTTTACTGAGGGTGTGTGAGAAAAACACAGACATGGCAGATTAAATAAATCAATAAAACCAATAAAGTTTGGCATAATGTCAAACCTGCTGTTTACAGTTGAATATGTGCTGACTTAGGGCAATATTTTCAGTGAATAATGATATAAATTTCAAACTGTTCCTCACACAAAACTAACATATGGCTTCAGAAGACTGATACATATGCACGGGCAGGGGCGTAGCAGCCATTATACAAGTGGGGGGGACAAAATGGTGTGGTGATGTGACCCAAAGGTCAGTCCTTCCAGAAAAATGCGGAGTTTTTTTGTGATTGTTGCGGGCAAAAATCCTTGATTATGCGGCAATGGAATATGCAGGATATTTGCAATTTTATGTGATGAAATTGCGGGAACTTGCAAAAACTGCGGTTTGATGAAAAAGAGAAAAACTGTTCTCACTACTACTACCTTAATGTAAAGAGTCATTTCTTATTACTTCCTATGATAAGCAAACATACTACATCACAGAAAGTGCTGGAATATTTCATCTAGTTTTATTTTTTGTTTTATAAACTTACAAAACATTGATGAGTCAAACAAGTTCTGTAGCTTTACAAAAGGAATATGCTACAACTTCTGTAAAAATGAATAAATAAAATATGAAAAAAATGTTTCCTGTTTTACAGCTTTTCAATGATGTTCATGTCGCGTAATTACATCACTTCATAATGTTCCCATGGCAACAGGGGTAAATGGCTGCTCTTGTGTGAAGTAAACGCAACATTTTTCAACTTTCTGCTAAGATATGTGACTTTTTTTGCAACAAAAATGCGGGGTCATGTTGCGTTATGAAATCATGCAAGCCCCACATATTTTGCGTGGAAATCGTCAATTTATGCGACAAAAGTGCGGCGTATTTGAAAAAATCCCCCCGCATAAATATGCAGACTTTGGCTGATTATGCATTGAATCATGCGATCGCATAATCGCGTTTTTCTGGAGGGACTGAAAGGTGATGTTCATAATAATAAATTCTAGATGGAATAGCAATTGGCATTTTACAGCACCCTAGTGCCAATTTTGGGAACATGCCATGATAGCTTAACAACCTATTTTTGTGAAATCATACTCGAAATAAAAAAAATACTGCAGGACTTGGGACTTTCAGACCACTGTGGACATCTATACTTTATTTTTATGAAATAATGATATTTTATGATATTTATTATATTTCAGTTAAACTACACTTGAACAACTTGTATCTTACTTAACAGTTGGACCAAAAAAAAGTGTTCAATGAGTAGGCTATACAGATTACATCTAGCCTACAGTAATTTTATACAACAGACATTTTATAAAAATATATCAATAAAACCTAATCAATGTATTCGGTATTGGACATCAATTTAACATTGACATGTTGAATTTACATTGAATTTTGGTCACCCGACGTCGCAACCAAAATTTAACCAAATATCAACGTCTTTTGACGTGTGCCTGCTGGGAATAATCTGTTATGTCTCATTTAACAGACTATAGACGCTTTTATCCAAAGCAACAAGTAGGAGAGCATTTACACACACTCGGCACAATCCGGCGCGACGTGACGAGGTCCATACGGGTTCTGTTGTCTTACACGTCTTACTGCGTTACAGTAGGTTAAATCATAACAAGGAAACTTTACGTGAGATTCATGTCATCGCGTCGCGACATACTGTAACACATTATACTTACAGTGTGTGTTTGAAAAAAAATAATGTAATCGTCCTCTGCTTTTTTTCTGGGGTGCATTAGACGGCCAAACAGGAAAGCGACTAAACGAACACGAAAATTCGCAAGAGCAACAAGAGATTTGAAGCTCATGGCAGACGCGCCCAATAGATGCTTCGCGCTGTGATTGGCTGAATGTTAGCTCACTCAAGTCTAAGTAAAAAATCAGAGAACACAGGCGGAAATATTGGCGCTGGGTCAAAAAAAATGCGGGGGACAGAATCACCTGTTTCTAAAAGTGCGGGGGACGTGTCCCCCCCCCGTCCCCCCCGGTTGCTACGCCCCTGTGCACGGGTCATTTTTGGTTACTTTAATGGTAGTCTTAAGATGCTTTTTGTCACTTTTTGAGCTTGATATCTCCAGTCTCCATCCACTTTCATTATATGGAAAAGAGCAGCATCGACATTCTGCTTAACTTCTCCTTTTGGCTTCCAGGAAGAAAGTAAGTCTGGTTACTGGTTTGCAACAACACAAAGGTAAGTAAAATCACCAAATTCTCATTTTGGTGTTAAATATTAAATTGAACCTCCTCTGCTGAGACAGCACGCCTCACTACCTTTCTTTTCCTGTCTATGCTCACTACAAGCAGTCAGCAAATATTTAGATGACGCATGAGTGACGACAGAGGCTCGGAGTCATTCATAAGGCATCGTTATTTATTTATATATAGACATGGACCGTAAAAGCATCACCAGTACGCACATTTAATTCATTATTAATCCTTATGAAAAGCAAAAAGTCACTTAAAGTCGCTTACCCTCTGCTACAGTCTCCTCCACGGTCACTTGATATCGTCCAATAGAGAAAACGCGTCCGATGAACGCGCCGGACCCCGCGCTGCCCCCCGCGCCGGCTCCTGACGCGGGGCCCGAGCTCACCATCTCCCGTCGGGTATCGAAGAACTTCTTCATAGTCCAACCAGCAACACTTTCATTAAATCATGAAAAACAACCAGACTCTCGAGTACGTGTCGTTTCCAAGATCCAACAAAGATTGACAGATGCACAAATTATAGAAAAGCGCGATAATCTCTTAATATAAAACAGTCCAGTTCGAGACTCCGAGGTACATGCAAGCTCAGCGGACATCAAGTGTTAGGAGATCCGAAACAACTCAACTGCATTAGAAGGAATCGGTTATCAGAGCAGTAGGATGAGTCACCATTGACACATTATCTTCATACTTATGTACCTAAAACACTAGCTTATAATAACATATCTGATGAGTGCCAACGCACTCCTGCCAGCTGCATAAACAAGCAGCTTTATTCCACGAGTCCTCTTACCACGCTGTCTTTTATTATGCACTTGGTGTCCAGCAACGATTATCGGCAGCACAGCGTTCAGGAGTCGCTCTCTCCTCTCCGTTTGCTCATTCAATCATTACAGCTGATCCTCAGAACTGACGCTTGCCCGAAAACCCGGAAGTGCAAGGTATACGTAGGGAAACAGCCGGTTCGATGGGGTTTTCTCTAAACAAAGTGAATAATAGTGTTTAATCATTGTCTGCTGACGAGGTTAGATTAAAGAAACGCCCGTACACCGGTAAAAAGCAAGAATAAACCGCGCGTTAGGATGGACTCGGTCGTCTACAGTCAGTCACGCTCTCTGGTAGATGTTGTTTAACACAACGCGCTGACGTCAGCGAGGAAGCGCACATGCGTGTCCAATAAGAGCCACTAGAGGGCATCATCATTACACACATACCACAACATTAGGGCTTGTTTGAGATGAGCAAAATCTGCGCAGAACCGATCACCAGTGATCAGCGCGAGATGCATGCCGGTTAGAAATGTGTCCGAGTGCGGTCCGCCTTGCTCTGATGTCATGCCGACGTATGTCAAAAAACTCTCGCGACTGCAAGGCGCACGTGTCGGATTCTGCAGTCGCGCGCAGTTGCTCTCCACCGACTGCGCTGATCAAAAGCATGATGGGAAACGACTTGCTGACGGCACAGCTTAATGCTCATTGGTTTAAACAACCGTGATGTATTGTTCTCTTTTAAAATGTTTGATTTTAAAACTCTGACATCATGTTTTATGTGTATAAATTATGTGTGGATATTCCCCAACTCTCTGACAGTGCAATCTATGTGATGTAATTTTATTTTTTTAATTAAAACACATGTCTGTATTAAAGAAAAAATTATTGATAAACACGTAGGCCTATTTAAAATGGAATTAAATAAGTACTTTGGGTGTCTTGTTCATTATATTTTCATATAAAAGCAACAAAACTTAAATTACATCCACTTTATTAGCAACACCATGCACGAGCGTGAATCCCGTGAATCCCGCGATATCCACCTTTGATCTCACAGGTGTCAGATCCACTGCGAGAAGAGCGATCTGTCCGGCTTGCCTGAGCTTTTTTCACTCCTCCCCTCACTGCAGCCGCCTACTCTCGCATACATTTCAGGCGAGGCAAGGCGCATCTCAAACAAGCCTATTATCGTTCAATCCTCATGAGAACCAGAAAACCTCTTTTTTTTTGTGAATTCATTTTTTTGTCATTACCTATTTTTTTTACAGTCTATGGTCATTACATTGTTTGGACTCGGAACATTTTTGTTTTTGAAAAAATATTTTATTTATTTTTTATGCTGTGTCCTCTGTAGAGGAAACCAGGATTCAGTTACTAGGCTTGTTTGAGATGAGCAAAATCTGCGCAGAACCGATCACCGGTGATCAGCGCGAGATGCATGCCGGTTAGAAATGTGTCCGAGTGCGGTCCGCCTTGCTCTGATGTCATGCCGACGTATGTCAAAAAACTCTCGCGACTGCAAGGCGCACGTGTCGGATTCTGCAGTCGCGCGCAGTTGCTCTCCACCGACTGCGCTGATCAAAAGCATGATGGGAAACGACTTGCTGACGGCACAGCTTAATGCTCATTGGTTTAAACAACTGTGATGTATTGTTCTCTTTTAAAATGTTTGATTTTTGAAACTCTGATATCATGTTTTATGTCTATAACTTATGTGTGGATATCCCCAAACTCTCTGACAGTGGGATCTATGTGATGTAAAAAAAAAAAAACACATATCTGTATTAAAGATAAAAGTATTCATAAACATGTAGGCCTATTTTAAATGGAAATTAAATAAGTACTTTGGGTGTCTTGTTCATTATATTTATTTTCATATTCAAGCAACAAAACTTAAATTACATCCAGTTTATTAGTAACACAGTGCACGAGTGTGAATCCCGTGAATCCCGCGATATCCGCCTTTGATCTCACAGGTGTCAGATCCACTGCGAAAAGAGCGATCTGTCCGGCTTGCCTGCGCTTTTTTCACTCCTCCTCTCACTGCAGCCGCCTACTCTCGACTACATTTCAGGCGAGGCAAGGCGCATCTCAAACAAGCCTAATAGGTAAAACCGAAATCCTGCTGATTAACCCTAGATCACAGAGCTCACCCAGACATGAAATTTTTCTTGATATAGATGGTATTGAGATTATTAGGCCCTCAAAAACTGTACGGAATCTGGGAGTTTTGTTCGACCCCACGCTCTGCTTTCACTCACACATTAGCCAGACTGTCAAATCATGCTTTTTTCTCCTGCGGAATATTGTTCGTATTCGCCCCTCTCTTACCTTTATAGATGCGGAAACTGTTATTCATGCTTATATCACTTCCAGATTAGACTTCTGTAATGCATTATACAGCGGATTACCCACCAAAGCAATACACATCACTCCTATCCTTCACCAACTGCACTGGTTCTCTTACGAGAGGTTCTCTCGTATTGCGTAAGTTTAGCTTACGCTACGGGAAAGATTCATCTTCTCGAGATATTGAAGCCAAAAAATTATCCTTAATTTTGTATTCATTGTCAACGCAGTGCAGCAGCTAGCAGACCTAGAGCAGGCAGTCTTGCGTGCTCATTGGCTGCCCTGCGGGCATCTGCTGCAGCCTACCAGTGAGCCCCGTGTGACGTCACGCCCAATGAAGGGCGCCCGCGCCTTCATATCGTCATAGCCCGCCAGAATGGGCGTGGCTTAGCGTATAAAAGAAGGGGCTGTAGGCTGAATTCGCTGATTTTCGTCTCTTCAGCGAAGCCCTTCACATCGCTGGATCTGAGAGAAGCCACCACCGCCGTCGAACAGCGAACAGCCAGCTTAGGACAGCGCTGAGGAAGCTGGCCGTCTTCGCCACCTTCAGCCATCCGTGCGAGCTACGCTATCCGGCGACGTATCCTTTTTACATTGCTATTGTATTCTCTTACTCCTAAAAGAGCAGCGAGCGTCTTTTTCAAGATGCCTCGCACTTCCTGTGGCTCGTGCAGGGCCCCGCTCAGCGTCAGAGACCGCCACGTGATCTGCGCTCTCTGCCTGGGCCAGGAACACGCGGAGCTCGCCCTCGCGTCCGGGGGCTTCGAGTTCTGTGAAGCGCTTCCCCTGTCGACCCTGCGGGCTCGACTCGAGGCCTTCAACCCGGAAGCAGTCACAACGCCCTTTGTGGGACCGCGCAAAAAGAAGCGCCGTTCCCAGAGACAGCCGGAACCTGTGGCCACAGCGATGCGCTCGCCGGAGAACCTCCCTCAAGTCTCGCTCTCGCCTTCCCCGCCTCCCTTCACCGACGCGCAGCTGCCGCTCACGAGCCTCACTGCCGTCGCGTCTGAGGATGAGGCCGAAGGACACGCCACGAGAGACTGCTGCTCCATCCTGCCATCGAATAGCGAGGAATGGTCGCTAAACTCCGCCTCCTCGTCGATCCAGGAATCCGGCCATACCCGCGCTGGAGCTGATGCGTCTGCTGACGCGGGCGGTTGACCGACTCGGGCTCGAGTGGTCGCTGCCGAAGGAACCCGCGCCGAACAGGCTCGACGGATGTTTCCTGCAAAGTCGCCGCCGTTCAGCCCCAGCAAGCAGCCCCGCTCCGTTCCTACCGGAGATTCACACGGAGTTGACAAAGTCGTGGAACACACCCTTCTCTTCGAGGCTTCAGTCTCAGGCCTCCGCGTCGCTCTCCCAAGTGGACGGCGCCGCCGAGAGAGGATACACGGCTATTCCTCCTGTGGAAGAGACAGTCGCAGCGCACCTTTGTCCGCCCTCCGCGAGATGGCGGTCAAGGTCAGCCCTCCCGTCCAAAACATGCAGAGCCACGTCCGCCTTGGTCGGCTGCGCATATGCCGCCTCCGGCCAGGCCGCGTCTGCTCTCCACTCCATGGCTGTTTTGCAAATCCTGCAAGCCGACCTCCTCCGTGAATGGGACGAGAAGGGCCAGGACCCAGCTGCGGTTACAGATTTGAGAAGCGTGACGAATCTCTCTCTCCGCGCCACCAAGACCGCAGCTCAAGCCATCGGACGAGCCATGGCCGCGTTGACTGTGACAGAGAGGCACCTCTGGTTAACGCTCGCGGATATGAGGGAGACTGAGCGCGCCACCTTCCTGAACGCGCCGCTCTCCCCTACTGGTCTCTTCGGCCCAGCGGTGAACGGGATCGCTGACCGTTTTTCTGAGGTACAGAAGACCACGCAGGCCATGAACCTCTTCCGGGAGCTCAAGCTCCGCCACAGTCCGCTCTCGCGAGAGACAGAGCCAGCCTCCGGCGCGAACCAGCACCCAGCTTCCAGGACAGCCTCAGCAGCGACGCCAGGGCGGCCGCCCTAGGTCGCGCTCAGACAGCCGTCACAGACCGCCGCCCCCCAGAGGGCCTCGGCAAAAGATCACGCTGAAGTCTGAGCACACGAAGCCGTCCTAACCAAGAGAGAGAAAAGACGCGCGCGTCCCGCTGCGGCCGGACCGCCGTCAAAGGTTATTTCCCTGACAGTCCCCTTCAAACAGGCTACTGCAGTGGTTCATTTGGCAGCCAACGAGCCGGTTCATTTACCTTCTCGCCTGCACACAAACGCCGTTTTCACGACGACCCAGAGAAATCTCAAAAAGAGTATAATGTCTGGTCCGGCTCACGCCGTTGGTGTTTTAAGTGTAGTGAAAGTGCCCACGCCCCAGTGTTCACCCCTACACACAAGCACATCAAATCTCGTGTCACTCACAGAGCACACTCTCATAAAGCGCAGAAAAGCCGCTCGAGTGTTGAATATAAGAAATGTGTCCACAGGTCTGTGCCCACTATCTGCCCACTCTGTTACACGGTCAATAAAACAGGTTATGAATGTAAGTCTCATGCCCGCCGGAGAGCGTTCACGCTTACTAACACACACCTCCCCCCGGGCGCCACCCGCGCGTTTAAATGTTATCACAAAACGCAGGGCATTGATAAGACGCTCCCCATCCGTTATGATCGGGGCGTCAAATACACTTGTAAGTCTCGTGCCCGCGCACACGCGCTCACGCTTACAGAAAGCTTTTCCGCCCAAAGCGCTGCTCGCGCGTCAAAAAGTGAGATTAAAATGCTCCCCATCCATTATGATTGGGACACCTCACATAAATCAGATGGTCTCGGCTTTCAGCGAGCAGCCATTGCCCAGAACCGAGAGCACGCGCGCCACGCTTTCGGCTCCGGCTCAGCTTCACAAGCCCGCAAATGGCGGCGATCTGAACCCGGAGGCCATTCGCCCCCTAGCGGCTTACATAGCTTCGTGGGAAACTATCCCAGGGATTTCAGAATGGATTCTGAGCACAATAAAGCAGGGCTATACACTTCAATTCATTCG